AAGTTACTGTACTTTATATTCAGCAGTTGGATAATCTTGCAATAACGTGGCTTTCGTGTACAACGTTGTTGAGAAATCCCACATGACCGTGTCCCATATTGCCGGATTTGTTTTCCTATCACCCAAGACCTGCAACGCTTTTTGATAGCTCACGAGTGCCTTGTTGTAAAAATGACGCTCCTGCGTGTTTTGTTTGCCATGCATATGTGCGCAGAGTCGCATAAGTCGACCGGTATTAGAGTGCAAAAGCGCCAGATTCGCTTCGTCATGGACAGTCTCGAAAGCTTTAACTCCAGATTCCAAATGAGTCAAGGAACGCGTTAAAAGCGTAGTTACGTCCGGTAAATTCAATATATCATCTGTTTGATTTTCTTGCTGATATCGAGCTATAAAAATTTATAATTTCTTAATTAATACAATTTATTTCTTGATTAATAAACAAGTAAATTTGTTATCTTCTATTGAAGTATAAAGTTCACATACATCCCGCTTGATTCATGTAAAGAACACCCAACTCATTATGGATATTTCCTAGTCGTCTCAATAAATTATTTTTGTCCATATCCATCGGCTCCAGAGATAGAGCTTGCTCGTAACATTTGTACGATGAAACCAATGTAGATTCTAGACTTCCTAATTCCTTTGGTAATAATTCAGCACCATCTGTAATAAAATACGCATTAATAATGACCGTTCATGTATCACTTTCATTTAGTGCATTTCGGTGCTTACTCATATCCAGATCCTCCATACTGAACAGTTCTTCAACTATTTTTTCCTCCACTTCATTCTTCGTGTCATAATCTTTCCTGTGCTTCTCAACGTTGCACCAATCTTGCACTGTCATAAAACAACAATCTCCCGCACGACCTAATAAATAGCTGAGCGATTTATCGTTTCTTATACCGCAGAAGATTTCCAGTATTTTCTGGCAGTACAATACTTCCAGCATATATCTTAAAGAGGCACCGTAATTTTTATTTACGTATTCATTCTCGGCGAGCACAGCGAATATCAAAGATGCTTTTTCGTATAATAATGTTTTTAAATGAGCATTCCAACAAATGTTATCGCTCTTTTTTGGCGCTTGCCATGTTGGCAATGTTTCTGTTTTTGGTTTACACAACAAAGCATTCACGTTTGCTACTTCCTTCGTAATGTTCTTTTCACTTCTCTTCTTTTTCTGTTTGTTTTTCTTTTTATATGCGAGACTATGATTCTCCAAACTTTTATCAAATGTGGCATTCTTATTTTGCTGATTTAATGGGGTGTAAGGCATAGGAATCGCCTGGAAAGGTTTCGCAACGTTAGGATGCATCTCCTCATATTTCCTTTTCTCTTTCTCATATTCTTCTGTTTTTTTTTGCTCCTCATCGTTGTTATCATCGATTGGAAAATATTGAAGACAATCGAGTCCGTGCGTAACATGTTCCAATCCAGATAGACATCTCTCTTCTACAGTACCAGACATTGGAGGTGCCTTGTACTTTGGTTGCTCACGTTGTTCTTTCACTACAAAAACGATAACATTAAGAAGATTAATATTAATTTTATACAAAAAATTAAAAATAATAGAATTGAAATCAAGCTTATTTACTGTTGGCTAAGGTCAAAGATTTAATCGCACAAGTTTCTTCTTCCTCTTCCTTTTCATTTTCTTGACTCGCACCACATTCACTATGAACATCTTCTTCGTCGCTTTGATCTGATAATCCTGGACTGGCTGGATCTGTATCCGATGGTATGTACAAATCCGAAAGCATAAAATGCGCAGATGTAACAATTTGCGGATATTTCTCTTTAGGCAGCAATTGAACGCAATTTTTCAGCAGCATTCTAATCGTACCCTGATGGCGATGATAATCGGGAGAATATTTCATGTTGCGAGCTACTCTGTATAACAACATTGCAACAGGCACAGTAAAGGGATTTTGTCCCTTCTCTTCTGAAACATCACTGCACAATGATGTTAAATCATATAACTTTACAACATCATCATCCTTACCTGAAAAAAAAAAACATTGCATGTGAATGAAATATTTTTAAACTAATGTAAAAATTTTTATTTACACTTTCCATGTACCAAGTTTAAAACTTACCTTTAAATAACCAATAAGTGTGACCAGCTTTTGTCGCATTATTTTTTAGGAAACTTAAAATATTCTGAGCAACGTCTCGAATCACTTTAGGACTAAACTTTGAATTATCTAAATTTGGAAGATCTTCGGTTTTTATTAGTTCATATTTCTGTACGATACCATTTAAATGATAACACATCACTACTTCTGGAACATTACACATTAAATTATCTAACCAATAGTCTATTCCTGTTAAGACACTTATAGGTTTCGTCATGTCTCTTAGTCGTAGACTTATGCATGGATGTGTTTGACCGCCAAATATCGGCATGTCTGTTCCAACAAGCATCTGTATGTTTTCAAATGTCCATACAACATTTCTTGAAAAATTATGTTTGTAATTCGGATCAGGTACTTTCTCTTCTTGTGTAGGTTCAGGTAAACATGGCTCTAATGTTTTTACAGGTAACTGAGGTTTTTCGCTCTCTTTGTTTTTATCTGCTAGCACTATAGAATGATATAGAAATTTTGATACCAAATTCCTTTGCTGTAAACTATTTCTGCTGTATGCCTTATGAAAAAGACGTTTTTCCTTATCACCGAGATTTTGAAAAATATGCTCGTAGAAGAATTTTTTCAACCATTCCCAATCGCTTTCTGCTTGTCTCAGCAGATATTTATGTATGTCAAAATCATCTAGCAATAATGTATTTTCGATACGATGCACCATCATCGAAATTACATCATGATTGTAAGGCAATTTGAGTAATTTCTTTATATTTTCAGCATCTGACACTACATCTACTTCACCGACGCAATCGGGAAACATGTGTGCCATGCGAAAGCTGGAAAATCCTGTACTCTGAGACCAAACATTTTGCAGACCATAACTTTCCGCCGAGCTACTGAGCCAATTACTGGGCGGAAGGTTCAAGTCTGTGTTGCACTGTAATTGTGCATATGTCGCTGGTGTTTGAACAGCAGAATATTTCACTACTGCGGTTGATTTTACAGGTTTCTTTGGAGAATCTGGCGGTATAGCTAGAGCCATTGACTTCATCTATAACATATAAAATTAGTTCTTAATTCTATAAAATTTTAATCTTACAAAATTTAATTTAAATATCAATTTAAAATATCAAATTTAATTTAAAATAAAATATCTTTTCTTATTGAACTCAAATTAAAAGAAGATATAAAGACATGATGAAGCATAGAGGATCATCTTTACATATATCAGATTATAATAATAATGACAAACTTTTCTGCAGAAGAGTATATTATTTTTTAAATAAAACATATCAAAACGATGATCACATTTGTAATAAACTTACAGCAACAACGTTAGTATCCGAGTTTTTTGACATTCTTGTGAATTAATTGTTGTCACACGTGATAGCAAAATATTACCGTGTCCGAAAATTTTTAGAAGAATGCACGGAGCTGCGTGAAACACAGTAAAACATGGCTTTCAATTCTCTCAAGCCAAATTGCCAGATAAAGAAAAGCCTTGAGAGCCTTGCAAGTGGACATGCCCACATTTGCCCACGTTTTGCGAAGTATGAAATCTGTTTAGTGGCGCCTCCAATGCCCTCCATGTGCACGTTGAACTACATAATCAACATGGATTTCTCGGTGGGTAACACATCCACGGTCTTCAATTTTATTTTCTAACACTAGACTGAAAAAATTGAAGTGAATGTGTTATTCGTGTGGCTACATTAATTTATATGCGAATGTATATACAAAGGTAGGAAGATATTTATAGAAAATCTAAGAAATCAGAATTTCAATTTTATATTTATAAAAAATAAAATCGCTCAATCACAGATATTGTAAAAAAAGTATATATTGTAAAAAAAAGCAGAGTTGCTAATAATAAGTGCTAATAAAAATAAATCTTTCAATTTTATATTATATAAATTTCATATTATATATTGTTTTTACAATATGATTAATAGATTTTCTTTTTTTTAAAATAAAATAAAAATTAAATTAAAATTCTCGTTCAATATGATTAATAGAGATTTTATTTAATCTTTGTGTATATTATTTATTTTAATAAAAACAGAAAATAAAGAAAACTGCATTTGATGCATTTTATTTTGAATTTTATATGTAAGTTGAATTTTGTAAATATAATAATAACATTCTTTATTTTTTAAAACAAAATCAAGAAAAAATGTGTATCTCAATTAAGCAGATAATTCATTTCTGTAAACAAGTTTTGAGAAAGAGAACATATATGTATATACTACCTAAGATATGATAGCCTTCAACGTCGAAGTGAAGCCCAAGAAACTCATAGATCAACCATGCAAGTCAAAGTCACGAAGTTGCGATATCGAAGTCTTAAACAATATTATGCAAAGACATGCACATGCTAATAAAATTATCTTGTTCTCTCTCTCTCTCTCTCTCTCTCTCTCTCTCTCTCTCTCTCTCTCTCTCTCTCTCTCTTTCTCTCAATATGATAATGTTTTCAAAATTTATTTGCAAAGAAATTAGCGAACATCTTCAGTGAAAATAAAAATCGAAGAGTATCGATTGTAACAAAATAGAACAAAAGCGTTTTTTGAAAATAAAAATTGAGATAACGAAATAAAAGAGATGTTTATTCTTCTTTTACATTTCATTGTCTCAATTTTCGCCTTCTAAAAGCTCCATTTACGTTTTTGTTATTCTCTCTTTGTAACATTTGACTTACAGTTCAATCTTTATTTTCACCAGAGATTACAAAATAATTCATGCAAATATCTCAGAAACGCAAAAAAGCGTCGCGTGAGTGCGATCCAAACGTCTCATCCATTCTGTTAAACGCCTTAGGAAGTCCTAAAAGTTTATCATACGTCACCATATATTCCTGGTATATAAGTCTCCAACCGTTGCTCGACGATCTATTCATTTTGTTTGAACCGAAGAGACAAAGACATTTCTACTATGGTGGCGAATTTCAAGGTCTACAAAAAATGTTCACCCAACGGTAAGCTCGCTGTTTACCTAGGTAAACGCGACTTCATCGACTACCTGTCGGGTACCGAACCGATTGACGGTGTAGTCCTAATCAGTCCGGAATATGTGGATAGCAACAGGAAAGTATGGTGCCAGCTATTGTGCAGCTTTCGCTACGGACGCGAAGAAGATGAAGTGATGGGTCTCAATTTCCAAAAGGATCTCTTCCTGGCGTCAGAGCAGATTTTTCCACAAATTAAGAAACCCGAATCCAATCCTACCAAGCTGCAAGACAGGTAAGAAATATTTATTAATAATATTTATACTCACAGACATAAAATACAGTACAGTAATAAATCTATATAGCACATTGTTATAATTATGTTATTGCATTTGTTAAAGCATTATAATGTTACTGTATGATGGAATTTATTGCTGGAATGTGTTCATTATAATGTACTAAAAATTAAGTGAGAATTAATCAATATTTAACAATATTTAAAATCATCTAATATTTCAAAATTGATTTTTAATTTTGATTTGTTATATTTCTTTATTGTTTTCCTTTTACATTATTCTAAAAAATTTTCGTATATTAATGAATAATGAAGTTATTATTTTAACGCTTTCAACAAGCGAAACTTAATTTCAACAAGTGAAACCTAATTAACTTGTCAACTGTAGATAAAACATAAGAATCTGAATATGTCTTTCTGGAATAGGTTGTTGAAGAAACTGGGTTCGAATGCGATTCCCTTTACCTTCACATTCCCGCAGAGCGCGCCGTCTAGCGTGACTCTTCAACCTGGACCCGACGAGACCGGCGAGCCGTGTGGCGTAAGTTACTACATAAAGGTATACTGTGGCGATACGGAGACCGATGTGACCCACAAGCGTAGCACCGTCTTGATGGGCATCCGCAAGATCCAATACGCGCCCACGAAGCAGGGTCGTCAGCCGTGCACGGTGGTGCGCAAGGACTTCCTGCTGAGTCCGGGCGAGCTCGAGCTCGAGGTTACTCTGGACAAGCAGCTCTACAATCACGGCGAGACGATCGCTATCAATGTGTGCGTGCGTAACAACAGCAACAAGATAGTGAAGAAGATCAAGGCGCTGGTACAGCAGGGCATCGACGTAGTGATTTTTCAGAACGGTCAATTCCGAACGGTAATAGAAGCGATTGAGACACAGGACGGTTGCCCAATCAATCCCGGTTCGACTCTACAAAAGGTGCTTTACCTGAAGCCTTCCTTGACGAGCAATAAGCATCGTCGCGGCATCGCCCTCGATGGCGTAATGAAACGGGATGAGAGCGACCTCGCGTCCAGCACTCTGCTTACCTCGCCGGATGTGCGCGACACTTTCGGCATCATCGTATCCTACGCCATCAAGGTCAAGCTTTATCTGGGCGCTCTGGGCGGCGAGTTAACGGCCGAGCTGCCATTCATTTTGATGAGACCCAAGCCATCCGATCGGGTTAAACTTGTTCCAACAGACAGCGTACTGATTGAAGACATCCCGCACGAGAAGGTCGACGAGAAAGTCGACTTCTAAAATAACATTTTAATATCCCATGGGATCCCATCGTCTGAGTTCTCGTTTCAACCGCTTCTCGCGCCCAACTTTCTAATTAGCATATCGACCAGGCACGAAGATGATACATCCAAAAGTGATTTAAAGGGCGTGCCTTAATTCGGAAGTAGTCACTTAATTTTTTTTACCTAAACAATCATTTGGGATATTTCTACATTCCTTAATTAAAATCACTATTATTAACAACATATTAGGAATGCGTATTCTAAAAAATTACTGGATACCGGATATCCGGACAGAATACAACATTTCTTCGAGTCGGATATCCGACATTTTCCGGATATCCGACCGGATTCCGAGAAAGTGTCTTCTAAAAAAAAAACAAAAAACAAAAAAAGGCCTACAGAGAAAAAGATTGTAATTTTGCAACAATATATGAGATATTAGCATTATAAATATGCATACTTATTTCTAAAACATTTGTATAAGAAAAAAATCAACATGATAATTTCAACCAGATACTAATGATATCCGGCTGTTCGGTCGAATAGTAAAAAAGTGCCGAATAATACCAAATAGCAGATATTTTCCGAATATCCGGTGCATCCCTACAACATATTAACTGTTTTCCAATCTTTATTCATAGTTGAGAATATTTACTTATATAGTATATAGTATTTTACATTATGATTTGTATTTTATTAGAAAACATGGATATAGATTTAATTACAATTTTTCGAAAAAAGTAAGTAAAATCCAAACAAATATTAAACGGAATAAGCACGTTAAGTAGCTCATTGTGATATATTTTTAAAAATAAAGATTTTAAATAATGCTTTTGTATTGTGAGTTTTCGATGAAATTGCATATTTAAAAGTTCAATAATTGTTCAAAAAGAAAAAATATATGTTATATAATATACAAAGTTTTATAATAATTTATATTTTTTTCACTTGAGTGACTATTTCCGAATTAATTAATGTGTTTTTTTAAATATCCTCTAGAGAATCCTCATCTGAACAACGATATTGCCAATTGAGTCTATATTTTTTATTATAAACACTGCAATTGATGTCAATTTAGTTTCTGTACATGAAGTATAAAAAAATATCTTAAAAAATTAATTAATTCTGCTAATATAAAAATCTAATATAAAAAACTGTCTGAAAAATATGTTTATTTATATATTTAGCTAATTTATTTATATAAACATCGACTCGCATTAATTATTTTCAGGAAATAATTTAATGAATGTGTATCGATCGTTTTGATATGTACGAGAATTTGTAATAAGCATCTGCTTCTCTCTCTCTCTCTCTCTCTCTCTCTCTCTCTCTCTCTCTCTCTATGTAATTAAATTTTTCAATCTCTCGTAATTAAACGTTTGCATCAATTCAGTTTCCCCAAAAAGGTTCTCAAATTTAATTGTATGATTGCGCATTGCAAAATA